ATAAGAGACAACATTAGCTGCTTATTATTTTATGGTTCCTTCATAACTTTTACTTGCATATTGTAGCATTGTTGATATTCTCTCTGTGTTTGTAAATATATGATGACAAAATTAATGTCGAAATATTGAATCCCGACACGATGACGTGCATTTCGATACTAGGAGTATATTATACTATCTTATCTGAGATTAATCAGTGAACCTTTCGGTTGTTTGAAAATGGGTTTGGAGAAATGTGGTGTAGCGCCCTCTGAGAAACCGACATGACGTGAACATACGAAGCCACGCCCCATCGGCTGATTGTATTTAGCATCTACCAATGTAAAAAAGGTCCACTGATTAATCTCAGAATAAAGATGGATTCAGTATTTTGACATTAATTATGTTATCATCAGGAATGAAAAATTATCTTTATTTGCAAGATATGCACAAGTGCCAAAAATTTTTTGGAAGTACACATTGGTAGATGCTAAACAAAGATCTTATAAACACAAGATAGCGTTCTCCGCGATTTACGCGTAAAGGCCGGTTCCCACTGAACGCGATCAAGCGAATTTCGCGTCGAAATGTGGCGCGCGCGGCTGAATCGAAGACGCGACTGGCTGTTTCCAATGTGAACATGCAAACGAATTTGTAGTCGAACACGCGAACGCCCAATATTCGAACTTCGACGCGGTGCGCGCGGTGGTCGCGGAGGCTTCGCCTGCGAATTCACAAGAGTTGATCCAAGACCAACTTTTTCGGATTCGCAGCGAATTCGCGGCCGATGGACCAATCGCAAGGCTTAGAATTAATTTATGTCAAATGTCAACAATAAAGTCACGACCATTGTCAAAACAATGTACAGGTACAGATGTTTTAGTTTACTGATTACATTATATATAAATAATGAATGGCTAACAAAATATTATTTATATATAATAAGGTTACTGGCTTCATTATACATAAATAAGGAAGGGGAAACACATCATTATATATAAATAATGAAAAATAACTTACAATTATTTATATATAATAAGTTCACTGATTCCATTATATATAAATAATGAAAAGGTAAC